TCTCTCCCTCTCTCTCTCTCTCTCTCTCTCTCCCTCCCTCCCTCCCTCTCTCCCTCCCTCCCTCCCTTTCTTGTTCAAGTTGAGTAAGAGTAAATTTTATTGATCTGCCTTTAATTTCACTGTCATCTTCACTCTACTATTGGGACCACCCTGCAAGTTTATTATATTTCAGTGATGGCATTTGTCAGTCTTAGCATTAACATCTAGTTCTTTGTTATACTTTGTTTAATGATGAAGCAGAGGTCCTTTCAGCAAAGGGGGAATAGAGTCTAGCCTGCCAGTGTTGTGGGAAACTGTCTGTATAGGGCTTAATCACTCAGATTCCGGAATAAGATTGAGTTCTGGGGTCAGAGGGCAAGTTCAAGGACCTGCCCCACCCCTTACCTTGATCTTGACCATGTGACCTTGGACAAGATATTTGATGGAGCTTTAGCCACTGCTAGGTCTTCATTACTTCATCGGTCTGATGGTGATCACAATGGCACCATCTCACAGTGTCTTACTAGGACTTATCCCAGTCCCTGTCAGTTAAAGCACTGACTTCATTTTATTATCTTTATTATTCACAGTACTCCTCCTTCTACTATCATCACAGCTGTTAGCGTGGGAAGTTTCAGAAAGGAGAGAGCAATGGCAGTCGATTTAAAGAAGGACTTGCATTTCACCATAGACAGGGCACAAAGGGTAGAGGGAACAGTAGGAAAAAAGTGTGGGCATGAGGAAGTACATGTAGTGTTTGGGGAACAGAGACCCGAACATATAGGAAGAAGGTGCTGAGGTGAGTTTTATGTTTCCAGTGACACATCAAAAGATTGGAAGTAGGAACCATGAAAGGACGACTAAAAGCCTTAATTCGCGAAGAATCAAGTGATGCGAAGAGTCGGAGTGATCCAGGTGTGCACCACGTTCTAGAGAGATCCTGTCTCCCAACCGTGAGTATAAATCGTGATGCACTGCAGTCCCCTAATCCCATTCTCCCCCTCTTTGAGGGCAGGAGAGACTACGGCCTTCACTGATTAGAAAGGCTGCATAAACAGTGTTTCTGGATACACAAGTCTTAGGATCTCACAGTTCCACCCAGCGGCCTGGGGCCGAGCCGTCTACAGGGTCCCATGCATTGGAATCTACATTATTTCTGATGTGTTTTTATTATCTTATTACATTTACTGGGGTGACATTGGTTAATGAAAATATATAGGTTTTAAGTGTACATTTCCATGATACATGATCTGTGTATCATGTTGTGTGCCCACCACCCAAAGTCAAACCAGCTTCCGTCCAAGGCAGGTCCAGGCCTGGGGCCCCCAGAGAATGCGAGAACCCTGTTGCTTCTTGGAAGTTGAAGAATGAGAGCCAAGGGCTTGGGGGTGTCTAAACACCTTCTATTTATTATTTGAATCCTCTCGGCTTCTCTAATAGAAGAGCAGTGAGGGAGGAAAAAGACAGGAAGTGTAAAGAGATGAAGAAATGAAACCGTGATGACAGGAAAAACGGACCTTGTGAGATCCTCTTTACCTCAGTATTCGCAAATGAAAAATTAGTATGTTAGAGTTGAATATGAGCCCTTCCGTCGCTCCTGCCGTCAGAAACACAAATAGACGGGCAGTCAACCAAAACACTGCCTTCTAAATTTTTAAAACGACACACCCGCTTTGGGGCCCAAATGCTATCATAAAACCCCAAACGCAGAGCACATTAGCAGTCTCATCACCGCGATTCCACATCCACCTTCCAGATCAACATGGCGGTCCCTCCCAGCCACCGGCTTTGCTTCGGCATCTCGGCTTCCATGTCAATGAATACTTGTCTGTTTCTAATGTGCATCTATTTTCGTCATTATTATGTTATTATATTCAGCATTAAAAGGAATTTATTTTGCTCCCAGTGGCGGAAAACAACTTAGGAAACTGTACAGAGCAGGAGAAATGTTAAATCTAAGTGTTTGCGTTGGTTATTGACTCATTAGTCTAATAACTCGTTTTCTCCCAACTTGAATAATTTAAATGCATTAGAAATGATATGGCATTAAAAAGTGCATTCTTAAAATAGTGAACGCTGGATCTAGGATCTGAGTTGGTAGTTATTACTTATTTAAA